GGTAGATTTAATTTATTTAATGTGTTTTTTAACAATAAAATGTATGAATTAAATAACCATAAAATTAAGCTGTAAAGTTTAAAGTTACATGCCTTTTTGTTTCAGTACGATAGTATAATATTATAATTTACGAAGAAAAACTTAATACATTTTAATGTTATATCTTTGTATTATACGATTTTTATTAGTTTGAATGTTGGTTTAATAAATTATTGAAAAAAAAAATTGTGTAAATCTATGTTTGGTTTAAAAACGTGTAGTAAAGAATTTTTAAGTTGATACCTACTATTMATTTTGGATATTATATGAAAACTATATAATATTATGTAGGTACGAGAGTTATAAAAATAAAAATTCTTCACACACATTGATATTTTATTATGATTGTACTTTATAAAACATTGTATTTGTTGTTAATATTTAAAACATCAATAATTCTTCATTATGAATTTCATTTAGTGTACATGCTGAAAATAATAAAATAATATTTACATTACAGTTTATTAGGACTACTAAGAAGTAGGATATTATGGGTACTGTACCTTAGGTACTTATAATTTCTATTCGATATTATTAAGCTAACAACTTTTACTCAAATATATAATAATATGTAATACTGTAGTAGAATAAATTATGGTATGCATATTATGTATTTATTTTATCAATATAAATATTAAAATGTATCTTATAAAATAGTACGAAAGCTGACAAAAAAGCAAATGTTTTTTTTTTCACATAAAACTTAAAACGATTTATAATATTATTATTAGTTAATAAACTGTATTTTGGTATTTGTACATAATGCTTATTTATATATAAGTTTTCTTAAGTTTTTAACAGTTATATAATATTTAATACCACATTGTAACTGACATTTAGAGTTTATACTTAGACCATATAATTAATATTCTAGTAAAATACGATTAGTATCTTAGGTCTGTAAAATTTTTTTATTATTATTATTWTTTTTTTTTAATATTCTTAATAATTTAAAATGTAMCATTTTAAAGAGCATAAGATATTAATCRTATTTTACTAGAATATTAATTATATAGTCAAAATATAAACTCTAAATGTCAGTTACGATGTGGTATTAAATATTATATAACCGTTAAAAACTTAAGAAAACTTATATATAAATATGCATTATGTACAAATACCAAAATACAGGTTATTAACTAGTCACAATGTTCTGGAGCCAAGCGCTAAGGAATCCATGTCTGAAATTTTCTAAGCAAAACGCTAATATAGAGGTATTTTTTTTTTTTGTCAAAAAATTACGCTCAATGATATTCAAATCATGTGAAAACAATTCAGATACGATGCACTATAGTTAAAAAATAAAAATAATAAAAAGGAAACGATCATCACATGGTTGATTATATTAAGAGTTATGGCTTATGGTCATGTACAAAGTGGTGTGAAATGGTATGGAGAAAGGAAGCTGGTGTATCCCGGTACACAGTAAGAGGAACTGTAAATTAAATTTAAAAAAAGAAAATCTAAAATGATACAGTAAAAATATTTTATAAAATTATATATAAAAATATATATAGAAACCTTTTTTGCTTATCTATAAAATGTAGTTATTCAAAATCTGATCGTTTAAATTTTGATGCATACTTTAAGACCATATTTTAAAATGTTTGAAATTTGTTGTGCTATTTAAGAAATATTCTGGGGATATAAAATTTTCTATTTTTCAAACAAGAATACTCCTTTTTAACTCTAAATTATACTGTGGATAATTTTTCAGAAAATGTTGATGTATCAGAATCAAAATTCGTACTCGTAGCATTTGAGTTATTTAACTTTTTATTCTAAGGACCGTGGTAATTGGTTTATAAGATATGAGAGTTATGGAGATTTGAAAATTTTAGTCATTAATATTAATCTGTTAATATAAATATTTTTCAAACACGACCCAAGTAAAAAAAATGCTTGATCCAATTTCACATCTAG